GGCCCACGGTCCCCTGCAGCTGCGCCCAGCCCAGGTGAAGCCGGCCCGGGTCTTGGGTGCCTGCGGCCAGCCAGAAGGAGGGAAGCCTGGGTCCCAGGTGCCTGCAACCAACTGGAGCAGGGAATCCTGGGTCCCAGGTGCAGGGTGAGGTAGAGGCGATTAGGGGCGATCAGGCCAGCAGGGGAGCAGTTAGGGGTGATCAAGCAGTCAGGCAGAGGTGGTTAGGGTCGATCAGGCAGGCAGAGGGGTTAGGGGCAATCAGGGAGGCAGGCAGGCAAGCAGTTAGGAGCCAGCCAGCGGTCCTGGGTTGCGAGAGGCAGTTGTACATCCCCCGAGGGGTCCCGGATTGGAGAGGTTGCAGGCTAGGCTGAGGGACCCCCCTCCCATGCACGAATTTCATGCACCGGGCCTCTAGTTTTTACTTGTCAGTCGGTAGCACTGAATACATTTGCATTGTTGTGCAACCATCGCCACTATCCATCTCCAGAACTTTTTTATCATCCCAGACTGAAACTCTGTACTCATGTAAACAGTATTCTCCCTCCCCCACCAGAGGGTGTGGTGATCAGGAGGCTGCTGTTGCTTGGATCTGCTGCGTTGATTTAAAGGCACAAAATACAACACAACAAGGCACAACGTACCAGGCCTTCCTTCCTTTTTTAAGGCTGAATAATACTCCGTTGTATGTGCATACCACATTTTGTTATCCATTTATTCATCAATAGACATTTGAGTTGTTTCCACCTTTTGGCTGTTGTGAATAATGCTGCTATGAACATACGTATTTGAGTCCCTGCTCTCAGTTCTTTTCTGTATATACCCAGAAGTGGAATTGCTTGGTCATATAGTAACTCTATGTTTAATTTTTTAAGGAACCATCGTACTGTTTTCCACAGTGGCTGCACCATTTTACATTCCCACATGCAATGCGCAAGTGTTAAGTTTCTCCACATCCTCACCAGCACTAGTTATTTTCTGTTTTGTTGGTTTGTTTGTTTGTTTGTTTGTTTGGACAATAGCTGTCCTAATGGGTATGACTTCCCGGTTTCTTATGTCATACATAGCCATAGGTCTTTAAATGTTAAGCTAGAGTCTTCAGCTGTATAAGCTCAGATACCAACTCATTAGTAAACCAAAATGTAATTAGACTCTCAGATACTGACTCTTGCTAACCCAACAGGCTTACTTTAGACATCTAAGAGATATGGCGAAATAATGGGCTGGATCCACTCCTGTTCAGTTGTCTGTGAAGCCAATTTATTATTTCCTTAACCGATGACTTGATATTCTTTCACTGATATGGATATGCTCGCGGGGAAGCTAGATTAAAGTCAGAAGGCATCGTGCTCAGGAGCAGAGATGTGGAAGCCTGATCTTCCATCTTCGAAATAGTGATCCTGGTGCTCATGGGACTGATGTCATCTCAGAAAAGCCCTGCAGAAGCACTGCCCGTGTGTCTCTCGTTTCTCTGCTCCATTCTGCCTTTTTATTTATTGTTGTTCTTATTTGTGATATGTTTACTTTAGAATTTAACTCTCAGTGGACCAGCTTTTTTCCCTATTTTCAAATTCTGGGTTAGTACTTCACGTAAGTCCCTAATTGCTACCTAAATAGTTGCTGTAGTAGATCCAAGAAGAACATCCAAGTAATATTCTAAATTCTGATTTCTTTAAATCTGGACAATTGAAGAAAAAGCGTATTATCTAAGGCTTGGGTAGTATATCTCTCTGAGCCCATGCTCTCTATTGGGCACATGCCTCTGTCCTTACCTCATCTTCTCAAGTTTATCTCTTGAGGCAAGTACATTGGCAGTTTAGGGACTTTGAGTTCTCACAGATGTCAAGAGTCTTGGCACTGGACTGCTTAGCAGCTGTAAGGAGCCCCTCTGTCTTAGTATCTCAGACCACTTCCCAAGACTTTCAGAGTTGCCAAATATCACCAAATTGTCACTTGTAGAAAGACTTTTTGTTCGAATGAGAAAGGCTGGGGAGAGCAAATAACTGGACTGATTATCTACATAGAGAAGAGGAGGATTATTGTGGTGTTACCATTATTACCAGTTTTTTCCCAAAGTAGCTCTGCACATATCATCTAGCTGTTGGGCCTTATGTTCTTAATGACAAAATATAATTAATGATGCAGGGCATAGTAGAACATTATATGATCTAGGAGATTGTGAATACTATAATCCAAATATAGATATTCTGAATAGGTAAACAAATGAACAGGATGTGAGTAAATCCTAGAAATATTCGATTTACATATAAAGATGGGGATAAGTTACTTAAGGGTAAATTGGCAAGTGACTTTATCTTTTTGTAAATAATGTGTACACGTGTGCTAATGAGCATCTGGTTTTATTCAGCACTAAAACTGAGTAGTCATGATTGATTTTGTTACCCCTGGGAAGGACTATTTTGAGGAATTTTTATGACTGTACAGGATATGAGCTTATTCTAAAATTGGCTGATTCTTTTATTTCTCTAATAAATATTACTGGGGTTCGCTATTCATGCAGTAAAATAAGCACCAGGAAATGCAGATGACATTTATTTAGGTGCTGTCAATCTTAGAAATCATTCAGTTTGGGGAAACATGGTCTTGGCACCAGATTACTTAGCAGCTGTAAGGAGCCCATGACGCACAATACGAAGCTCATTCGAACTGGCTTCAGCAAAAACGGGGGATTTATTGGAGACATGTAAGGGTATCTTCCAGAGTCCAAGAGCAAGAATTGCAGCTGGAATGGAAGCAGTCTTGTCATAGGTCACTCTTTGTCTCACAGGACGCAAATCCTCTCTGCTTCTCCCGTTCTCTCCCTTCCCTTCCGGCTGTATGGTGCACATGCTCGCCCAAGCCCTGGCTTTAACATCCTGTCTTATTTTAAGCATTAGTTGAGAACTCACTTGGTACTAATTCCCAGTTGCTGAGAGGAAATCTGATTGGCTCAGCTTACGTCAGGCATGTGCCTCTGATCCAGTCAGTTGTGCTGAGGGGTTAGGAGTGTGGTGCCGTGGGTCACGGTGGCCCCCGGAGTTGTGTCTCCTGGGTCTGTGGAAGGGGAGCTTCTCCAGGAATGAGAGTGCCAGAAAGGAGTGACTGGAAGAAAACGGGTGGCACCTCTAGAATCACACTTGTGATCTCTGTGACCTTGGGTGGGTCACTCCGTTTTCTCATCTTTACAGTGAAATAATGATGTTCTCCCTCTCACTGGTTATTGTGATGATCAGATAAGACAAAGTACATAAAAACTTCTTTAAGTTAGAAAGCTTTGTATCAAGAAAGTAGATAAGTTATTTAAACCACACCATGTATGCTTTTCTGTGAATTAACAGGCTCTATTTTAGAAATAATACTTGTATGATATTATTTATGCTGAATGCCATTATAACTATCTATAACAAATTATTCCAACTAAAAAGAGATTAAAATGGTATGACTACATGCCCCGGCCAGTGTGGCTTAGTTGGTTGGAGAGTCATTTCGTATCCTGAAAGGTTGTGGGTTCCATTCCCGGTCAGGGCACATACCCAGGTTGCAGGTTCACATCCCCAGTTGGGGGTGAGTACGGGAGGCAACAGATCTCTCGCTCTCGCTCTCGTTCTCGCTCTCGCTCTGTGTGTGTGTGTGTCTTTCCCTCCCCTCCTCTCTATAAAATCAATTTTTTTAAAAATCACATACCACATATCCTCAGTGGAAGATTTAATAAAAATGGTATAGCTACACAGAAAAACATTTAATAGAGGATTAAAGTAGTTTAATAACACAACACATATAAATGTCCAAGCATAAAATTAGATAGTGATATACAAAGCAGCAGAGCTGTCTTGTGGTATTTTTTTTTAGCTTCTAATATGCGGTCAAGGGCATGTACCTGGGTTGCGGGCACATCCCCAGTGGGAGATGTGCAGAAGGCAGCTGATCGATGTTTCTAACTCTCTATCTCTCTCCCTTCCTCTCTGGAAAAAAAAAAAAATGGTATAGCTACACAGAAAAACATTTAATAGATTTGGATTAAAGTTTAATAACACAACACATATAAATGTCCAAGCATAAAATTAGATAGTGATATACAAAGCAGCAGAGCTGTCTTGTGGTATTTTTTTTTAGCTTCTAATATGTGCTGGGCCTTCTAGGGTACAAAGAAGGATGCAAGGCTACTCAGAGGTATTGGGCTCCTTGCTTGTCCTCAGGGAACTTGGCAAGATGAGAAAAACATAAGCCAAGAGAAAATGACCAAAGTAGTAGGCAGTGCACGATACATGTAGCTTAGACTACAGAATTTCATAAATTAGAGAGGTCGTTGGAGGCTGTCACGGTCAAGGGAAGCGCTCCAGCAGAAGCTGGGATTCAGACATGAATAGAATCACAGAGGGAAGCAAGTAATGGAACTCGGCGTCGCAGGAGCCACTGCCGTGACAAATCCCTCCCACCAGAAACACCAGCACAAATGCTTTTATGATGGGAATGCTGATTGCCACCTAAATAAAATGGTTTCGTTTTATGTGTTCCAGTTTTCCCCATTTTCCTTAAGCACAGATTGTTTTTCAAATTATAATTATTTTCCACTTTGTCATTCTTCACCTACCCTGTCTGCAGGTACCTGTTTAAGGCCAGCATGACACTAATTTCAGTAGAGTTTACTGTTTTAGAGTAGGAAGGGTATGTAGGGAAACATTAAGTGCTTATCAGCCTCCATATAGATTCATTTTCAGTCAATTCATTTTGAATTAAGTTGGTATTCTTGGATCGTGGGGGGGAGCTCAGAGCCCGCTCGGCGCTCACGGGGTTCCATGTAAATACTGTCGAAAGTTAAGTGGTAAACGCCTGAGCATTGCCCCAGGTCAGCCGTGTCATCCTTTGGGGAATGTCAGTAGGGTTGAGGGACAGCCAGTGCTGTTTCAGGAGCTCACCCCTGGGCTGTCAGGGCTCAGCACTGCCACCACCACCACCCATAAGAACCAGGCTCCAAGGGGGGCCTGCTTGTCCCCAGCTTTCTCCCTTCATGACCATACATAATGGTATTAGCCCTTTAAAAATAAGTGCGTCATAAATCTCATTCACACTTGTTTGCATGCCACCTCTTTAGTGTGTCTGTGTGATGTGATGTAATGCTTTACGTCTTGTTTATCAAGAGTGTTTGATTACAAATCAGCACGTAGGATCGAGGGCCTAAATGTTCAGATCCAAGGATTGAGAGAGAGGGAGAGAGGGAGGAAAAAAGAGAAATGTGTGCGTCTGGCAAAATAAGGCTTTAGTCCTTATTCTGAAAGCTTAGAATCATCAGACAAAAGATTTCGTTGCAATATTTATTACAGCTAGGATGAGTCATCTTAGATTAAAAAAAAAAAAATCAAAGGCGGATCAGAATCACAAAGACCTCAGTGACTCACTGTGGTGGTTTTACAATCGCCCCTCCCCTAGGCTTGTCCTTCCTGCCTGTCCTTCGTCCCCTTAGGAGGAAAATCATTTAGGAAGATAAACACAGCCCTATGGGGTTAGCATTGACTTCTACATGAATACCAATTTCCACATGTATGTTACATTCAACTGGCGTGTGACCACACAGTGTTTCTTTGTAGCCGCACAGTTTTTCAAGTCTTGCAAATTTTTTAAATGTTGAATTTATCAATGCAGTACAGTGTGTCTGCTGATGCCATAGAAAGTAAGATTCCATCTTTCCCGTGTGTTGTCTAGGGCTGCTGCAAATAATTCAGTGGATTAAATTTGCAGCAGATACTTTGTTAAACTATAGAATAATTATTTTGGATAAAAACTTGAATGTCAGCCTGTTTAGTTTATTTTCCTGAGAGTCAGGAATCACCAAGTGCCAGTTTATCTGTGAAGCTGAAAGAACATAATGAAACATTAAAGGATGAATGGGTTTCACATGCTTTGTTTATCTTAAGATGTAGCCTGTATGCTTGTGTTTTAAGGGTAATCCTGATGCGGGGCTAGATTCATAACTAAGATAGGACCTTCGAAGGTTTAATCAATATAAACTGTGTCTTACCTGTTGCTTCATTTAAGTATACATGAACTTTCCTGTGCAGAGTGCTGCAACCCTGGGTTCTTCTCCAGTTCTTAGGATCTACATCTTTTCTGTTGCTGCTATTCCCTAGGCACATTCAGAACATGAGTGAGATCAAGACTGACGTTGGACGAGCTCGGGCGTGGATAAGGCTGTCTCTAGAGAAGAAGCTCCTGTCCCAGCATCTCAAGCAGTTGCTGTCTAACCAGCCACTCACCAGGTGAGACAGGTTGAGGCCTTTCGGCGTCTAGGACCTGTGTGCTTACAAAGCACAGTGCAAAAGTTGACAAACCGTAGTTCTGTTTTTCTTACGTAACGAGGAGTCGGGGCTAGGCGGTCCCCCGTGCCATCCTGGATGCAGGCTCTTTGCCCCTCCTCCTGGACAGCCTCCTACAGTATATGCTGATCACCTATGGTTACAGGATGGCTTCTCTTGTAAAATTAATGAGTCAGAGGGTTTGACTGGTTTAAAAGAAGTATTACCAACAAACTGCTTTCCTGAAACTCTCAGTCCCACTGTCTGTCGGAATAGCTAGCTATTCATTGCCCCCCCCCCCCCTCGTCAGCACTGGTCAGCACTTCCTGATCTCTATTAGTTTTATAGACAAAATGTATTTGT